CTGTGGACTGGGAGATAGAAAAGATGAGAAGCACTTCTGGGCAGCTGGCCTCTGGAATTTCAGAGAACCCCTTCTCAGTATGTTCTGCCCTGATACTCATATACCTTGACAGATGGAAATATTGATTTGGGGGTTTGTAGATGTCCTAAAGGTTGTGTGTGTGAGCAGAGGCAAATGGAAGTCCCTGCCAAGTTACTGATGTCTACCCATCTGTGTGGATATCTACTGCCCATTCATTCATCTGTTGGTTCATCTATCTCACTTTATCCCTTGACCCTCCAACCCACTTATCTACCTGTACATCCATCTATCCATCATCCATTCACCCACTTGTCTGTCCATCATCCATCTACCCACTCACTTGCCCATCCATTATCCATCCATCCATCCATCTACCTATCCACCCATCAGCCCATGTTTGCACTTATCCATCCATCCATCATACATACATACATATATCTGTCCACCCAACAACTATCCACCCATCAGTCCATCCATCCAGCTAGCCAGCCATCTATCTTTCTACCCTCTCACACGTCTATCCACTTATCTATCCATCCAACTGTCCACATATGGCTTTGGGACAGCTTAGCATAATGTGCCTGAGATCTTTGTAACTCTAGGAGAAAAACACATCACTTGCTTCTCTAGAGTGGGAATGGTAATGGTTCCCACCTTGTAGGGTTATGCAGAGTAGGTAAAATGATGTGTATAAAACCCCAGCCACACTTTCCAGCAGGCAGTCAGTCCTAATAATTGCCAGCTATTGTTTTCTCTAAAGACTTGTCTTCTCCCGTGGTCTGGTTCAGAGTGGTTGTCACGGACAGGGCTCAGACAGTGCAAAGGTGTAGCACCTCACAGGTACCTGCTGGAGGCCCTTCAGCAGAAATGTAGCTTCATGTGGAAAGTTCTGAGCCCCCGATGAGAGCAGCAATGTCTGCAGTGACTTGATTTGGTCTCTTCACTTTAGGATCTTCTAGTGACTGGACCCTCCCCAGCTGGTGACTGGGAGATGGCAGCAGCTGCTAATTCAGCTTTGTGGATAGTCACCTGCCAGCTCAGCACCATTACTTAGAAGATAGAATTCGAGAGGTAAGACTGAGGTTCCTGCTGTGCACCTGTCCAGTTCATTGTCCAGTCACTGAATGTTCACTGATGCCTCCAGCCCCCACTCATCTATCTCTTCTGCCCATTCACTCACCCATTTGTCCACCCATCTACCACCTATCCACCTATCCACCCATCTACCTGGTCATCTACTCACCCAACCAGCCATCCATCTATCTATATATCCACCCACTCACTCAATCTATCCACTTGCCCATCCCATCCATTGGTTACTCATTTTCCTACCCATTCATCTGCTCAACCATCCATCCACCCACCCAACCTCCACCCACCCAACCCATCTATTATCTGGTCACCTCTTTCTGTCCACCTACCCAACTGCCAGCCCCATTTATCCATCCATCTGTTTGACCACCCACCTGCGCATATATCTGTCTCTTCACTCAGGGCTCCATCACAGCCTCATCCATCCCTCTGTTCACTCACTGCTCATGCCTTCATTCTCTCATCTGGGCAGGGAGCATTTTCTGTGCTACCTTTGTACTAGGGCCTGTACCAGCCTCTCTGGGCTGCTGAGGTGAGACTGACTCTCATGAAAGGTAGAGAAAAGCTTCTGGAAGATCCTAGGGCTAGAGAATCCAAAAAGGCTTCAAGAAAGAAGAAAGGGAGGAGGAGGAGGAGAAGGAGAAAGGAGAGCTGTGGTTCAGCAACCTTTGTGGAGGAGAGGCCATCTGAGGCTCCGTGAGGAACAGCAGGAGACTTAAGGACCCGTGCTGGTAGTTTAGTGGGAGGTGAATCCAGGAAATACCAGAAAGGATGACAAGTGAGACAGGAAGACAAGAGCTTGAGAAAGTGCATGTTGTTGATAGGGTTATGGCTGGGGAAAATGAGCCAGACCCAGTTGGGGTAGCCAGGGAGATGGCATGGAATGTACCCCTCAGTGTCATTCCATCCAGGGGCAAAAGAAGCCAGGGGCATTTGTCCACTTGATTCTGGTGGCATTTGCTCCCCAGCATTCCCTGTACTCACGCAGCGCCTGCTCTGATGAGCTACAGAGAGTTTTTTTTTGGGGTCCAGTCGTGGGGCCTGAACTATGGGCCTGGGTGCTGTCCCTCAGCTCTTCAGCTCAAGGCTAGCACTCTACCACTTGAGCCACAGCACCACTTTTGGTGTTTTCTTTTTGCTTATGTGGTGTTGAGGAACTGAACCCAAGGCTTCAGGCATATAAGGCAAGCGCTCTACCACTGAGCCACCTTCCTAGCCTCTAGAGAGAGCTTTTTGCCAAAGAGAGGCTAGTGTTGGCTGTTGGAATTGGGGAGGTGGGCCCTGAAACAGTGAGGGCTCAGGGTGAGAAAGCGGCACCAGCCCTTCCCTCCCTAACATGTCCCAATGTATGGTTGTTGTTTGTCCTTTAGCCTAGCAAGGAAGCCTTACTGCATTGACCCCCAAATGTTTGTAGTTTGAGGATGAGCACAGGACCAGGGATTGAGGACCTGGCCAGCCTGTCTAGACTAGGAAGCCAATTGGGAATGAAAGATTATTTTTCCAGAAAAGTCTGCTTTCCCAACTCTCCCTCTCCCTCCACACCTATGATCAGCTCCGATCAGGAAATTCTAGCCTACTGCCTGATCCTCCAGCTCTTGACACTGCCCAGACAGGCACCAGGAATGCTGCACCTTATTGCCTCTGTAAGGCCATCTTGACCTTGATGTGGATTCATTCTCTGGGCAGGGCCTTGTAGGAGACAGAATGCTAAACCTTTAGCTTGCTTGCTTGGCCTTGCCCTTCCTTTGTGAGTGAGGCAGCCCTCTTGGAGCTGCTCCTGATAAGCAGATTGATAGACAATGAGTGGATTAGGAAAGATTTTGTATCCCTCCTCAGTTGCAGTGGAAAGAAGCTCTGCAATTGCTTAATGATGTCTGCCATGACACAAGCAGAGGAGTACACTGTCTCTCCCTGCACAGAGATCTAAGGAGCCTTCTGATGTTGGGGCTTAATTAGAAAGTAGTGGTTCTTTGTTCCTATACCTTCTGTATAAAGGCAAATGGTCAGTGCTGGTGGGGGTCCTTAAACCTCTGCTTTTTAGGGCCAGCTTTGGGACGTTAGTATGTCTGATATCACCAACTGGGATTGCATAGGCCTGGAGGACTGACCAGAACAGGGTATCAGGGCCTGTGGTAATGCGAGTTGGTTCCTCCCCAACTCCTGGATTGGACGCTCCGCTCCTTAAAGCCTGTGTGGTTCTTGGCAAGTGACTGGAACTTTCTGAACTTCAGTTTCCTCACTGGAAAGGGGAGCAATAGGTGACCACAGTGTTATTATAGGGATTAAGTGAATGAGCTTATTTTTAGCCTTTTAGGAGTACTGGCGGGTGGTAGCTCTCTGAATATTTTGGCGACAAGGTTCGTGGCTCTGGAGGGGTCTTGCTTCCTAAGGGCCCCAGCGCGGGGAGTTCTTCTGCGGTGTTCCCCTTCCAGAGCCCATGGCTTTGTGTGAGCTGGCCCCCCTCCCTCCGTCATCGCTCCTCCCAGACAGGATGTTTTTGGCATCTGGAAATGTAGGCCCAAGTCCTGACTCCTCCCGGATGTTACTGAAACCTGAGGTGCCCTGAGCCTCAGGGACTGGGCATGGGGTGTCCTGCTGCATCCGGAGGCACCTCCTAGTGACTCCCAGGCCCCACCCTGGGTCAGGTGGTAGCTGCCATCTGGTGTCCTCTCTAAAAGCTCCAGCCCAGGCCCTGGCCAGTGCTCCAAGCTCGCCGGATGCCGGGAGGCTGTGTCTGCAGGTGCCGGGGCTGGCAGGAAGTGGGTTCCAAGCCTGAAGGTACAGGGACAGCTTTGTTACCTCCTGCTGGGTCTGTGCCCTCTGCTGCCCATTCAGCCCTGTACGGTGTTGAGTGGCCTTGTCCAGCTCAGGTAGTGTACCCCGGTGCCTCCCTCCGTTTCCACCTTGCTATGCCTGGGACCCCTGCTGGCTGACCTGGGCCTCTGATTGCGATTCTACTTGTTGTCTGAAGCATCTCATCCTGGTCTATGTATCTCATCCTGTTCTATGAATTGCTCTGTGAGCTGGGACAAGTCTCTTTTCTTTGTCTGGCTTTGATTTTTTTTTTCCCCTCACTTAGGAGGAAGGCTGAGCCTTCCAAACAAATTCTGTGATGCCTTTTTGTATCTGATTTCACATTTCACCCCATGGACCTCACTGAGCAAGAGACACACGGGCTGGCAGCTCACTGGCTGAGGCCACTGTCCTACATTTCTCGGGATCTTTAAAGACTGCCCAGTTGTGTCACTGTGTGGCCACACCTGTTTATATGGGAGCATTTGTGGGACACTTGGTCAGTGTGTGCTGCTGAGTTTCTACGAGGTGTCCTATTCTGGATCTTTCTTTGTGGCAGTCATTCACCAAGTACCCAATGAGGGCTTCAGCACACTTTTGGGGGCTCTCTCTCTCTCTCTCTCTCTCTCTCTCTCTCTCTCTCTCACACACACACACACACACACAAATATGGAGTAAAGTGGGCCATCCGGGGCTACAACTTCTCAGTTACTCCATTTCTGGGTGTTTTTGGACAAGTGACATTGCTCTTCTCAGAGCCATTCTCATTGCTCTTCTGAGTCACTTTCCGGCTCTGAGAAATGGGGGAGTAGGCCTGATCTTGACCTCGCTGATTTTCTCCATGTGGTTTTGGGAGGGGCATGAACAAAAGCAGGAGTTTCCAGGCCTCAGTGATACTACCTGGGTGGGTCCCAGGCACTGGCCCTGGCAGAGCCGGGAGGAGAGTCGGCAGCATCCTCACCTGCCTGGTAGCTGGCCAGGCTCGAGGCTGCCTGCTAGGAGCAGGGCGCTGGGCTAAGCTCTCTGGCCTTTGATTCTTTTGATTCTGTTCCCTGCAGGCCTCGAGCTGCTCAGAGCGTGAGCCAGGAGCAGCCATGACCCGCTGGACATCCCTCAAGGCCTCCCGGCCACACAAACCTGGCCCCTGGGATCTGGTGGGCTCTCACCGGCGTCTGAATGCCCTGAACCTGGCTGCCTCTCCTTGGAGGGCCCAGGAACCTAGGGCTGAGCTGTCTTCCCAGCATGGCCCCTGGGTTTCCCAACCCCATCGGTCCTCTGCTTCTTGGCCCAGGCAGAAGCAGCATCCACCATTACGGCCCCAGGTCTCAGCTCCACAGACCCATGGTGAGGTGGTCAGCAGAGCAGTTGGAGGGGAGGATGGTAGAGACCCCCTGCAGTGCCAGGGGTCCACAGTGGGAAACCTTGCCTTGAGTTCAAGTGGTGTGGATCTACTCAATTCTCCTGCCTGGTGGCTGTGTGTCTTGGAAGGAGTCATGTAACCTCCCTGAGCCCTTCATAGGCTGTTAGAGGATGATTGAGGGCTGTGTTTGGCCCAATGTACCATGCCTCCATGGCTCTTCCTGTGGTTCTCAAGCCTCCAGGCTGTGAGTCTTGTACCTGTCTGGCTGCAGGGCCCAGTAGTACCGTGACTGACAGCATAGTCCCCGGGAAGACCTCCCACTCTGCCCGGTCACCATGTTCACCTGAGCCTAGGTGTTGGGATCAGAGAAGCCTCCAAGAACCTGGCTAGTGTGGATGTGGCCAGGAGTGGAGCCATATATCAAGGCTGAACCTGGCACTGCCACCTCTTCTGGAGGGGGGGGGGGTCTTAGGCAAGCCTCTTTTCTCCCTCTCTGATGCTGGCATCTGCAGACTGTTCTGCATGGCATCTGGGCCATCATGAGTGCCCATCCTCCTGGGGGCCTTAGTGTCTTCCCAGCAAGATGGTGGCAGGTGGCTGACGGAGGGCTCACCAACCTCGTGGTATGGCTGCGTGGGGAGGCAGTTCCTGGATTTCCCAAGGTGGAGAGGTGTGTGCCTCGCCCCTCAATGTCCTGCCATGTCAGTGGCTCCAGCTCTCTCCCTTCTTCCAGCCCAGCCCAGCCTGGCTGGGACAGGCTGGAGTCCAGTTGGCCCTGTGACCATAGAGCCAGGCAGCACCATGACCCCTGGCTCAGCTCGGCACCAACAGGCGGGCATGGAGCCCATGGGGCAGTGGGAAAGACACATGGCTTGTGTCCTGAGAATGACTGGGGATTGTTCTATGGGCTGTGGTGCTGGGCTACAGGGCCTGTTCTAGGAGTATTGGTGTGTGTGTGTGTGTGTGTGTGTGTGTGTGTGTGTGTGTGTGTGCACATGTGTGGACAGGCTTGTCTGCAGCCTGGAGTGAGCCAAGGGCTGAGGAAGGGATGAGGTCAGTCAGGGTTTCCCTGTGTTTCCTGTCAGGGTACCCATTCTAGAACCACCCTTCGTGACTATCCATGACAAGGAAGTCACAGCCGTGGCCTATGGGTGGGTGCCAGTGGGCGCTGTAGGTGAGATGTGTAAGCATTGTGCGTAAAGTGCGGGTGTCTGAAGTGACAGGGGCCTGGGGCTTGGCAGGCCCAGTTCCAGGCCTGAGAGTCCGACGGTGAGCAACAGAAAATACCCTGCTGTCAGGGAGCTGGAGGGTCTCTGTGGGGATGGCAGCCAGTGCCTCCCTGTCTGCAGGATTACTGCCATTGTTATTTTCCCCGAGGCCCTTGCTGTGGAGTGACAGAGGGATGGGCACAGCAGGATGGCAGCACTGAGCCATGTTGCCTGAGAGAGGCAAGGCGTGGGGGGGGGGGGGGGGGAGGCTGTCTGGGAGTGAGGCTTCCAGCTGGGGGAAGGAGGAACAACCTCGGAGGTGAGGTCCGGGGGGTCTCAGAGCCCCCTGTGCAGGCCCTGTGGGTTCCAGGGTCTTCTGGCTTTGAGCAATGGAGGGAGAGAATTGGACGGATCGTCCATAGGCTCCCCGAGGACACTGGGAGGCTGCTGAAGCGGCCCCTGCGCTGGGCCAGACCGGTGATGGCTGGAACTGAGGCCCAGAGGCCGGTGAAGGGGTCCCATTCTCAACAGATTTTTGGAAACTGAGCCTTTGGTGTAGGAATTAAGAGTCGTGATGGGGGGTTGGGACTGGAGTTTCTGGGATGTGTTCTGTGCTGAGAAGGTGGAATGTAGAGCCAGTGGGCTTAGAGTGGGCTGGATGATGGGGACTCGGCGTGGGGTAAGTGGGGGGCTGGAACATCTGCCAGTCCCCACACGGGGTGCGCAGAGCAGGTGGGTCTAGCCACCTGCCCAGTCAGACCTGCCTTGTCTTCTCTGTTGCAGGCGCCCCCTCCCCTGGAACCAGCGTGGGGGCGGGCCGGGGCCTCCCCACCCCCGGGATGACGGCAGCGAGCCGGGCCAATCCCTACAGCATCGTGTCCTCAGAAGAGGACGGGCTGCACCTGGTCACCATGTCGGGGGCCAACGGCTTCGGCAACGGCAAGGTGCACACGCGGCGCCGGTGCCGCAACCGCTTTGTCAAGAAGAACGGCCAGTGTAACATCGAGTTCGCCAACATGGATGAGAAATCGCAGCGCTACCTGGCTGACATGTTCACCACCTGCGTGGATATCCGCTGGCGCTACATGCTGCTCATCTTCTCGCTGGCTTTCCTCGCCTCCTGGCTGCTCTTTGGGGTCATCTTCTGGGTAATCGCTGTCGCCCACGGCGACCTGGAACCTGCGGAGAGCCGTGGCCGCACCCCCTGCGTGATGCAGGTCCACGGCTTCATGGCAGCCTTCCTCTTCTCCATCGAGACACAGACCACCATCGGCTACGGGCTGCGCTGCGTGACAGAGGAGTGCCCTGTGGCCGTGTTCATGGTGGTGGCTCAGTCCATCGTGGGCTGCATCATCGATTCCTTCATGATCGGTGCCATCATGGCCAAGATGGCGCGGCCCAAGAAGCGGGCACAGACGCTACTGTTCAGTCACAATGCCGTGGTGGCGCTGCGTGACGGCAAGCTGTGCCTCATGTGGCGCGTGGGTAACCTGCGCAAGAGCCACATCGTGGAGGCCCACGTACGAGCCCAGCTCATCAAGCCCCGGGTCACCGAGGAGGGCGAGTATATCCCCCTGGACCAGATCGATATCGATGTGGGCTTTGACAAGGGTCTGGACCGCATCTTCCTCGTGTCACCCATCACCATCCTGCATGAGATCGACGAGGCCAGCCCGCTGTTCGGCATCAGCCGGCAGGACTTGGAGACGGATGACTTTGAGATTGTGGTCATCCTGGAGGGTATGGTGGAGGCCACGGCCATGACCACGCAGGCCCGTAGCTCCTACCTGGCCAACGAGATCCTCTGGGGCCACCGCTTTGAGCCAGTGCTCTTTGAGGAGAAGAATCAATACAAGATCGACTACTCACACTTCCACAAGACCTATGAGGTGCCCTCCACGCCACGCTGCAGTGCCAAGGACCTGGTGGAGAACAAGTTTCTCTTGCCCAGTGCCAACTCCTTTTGCTACGAGAATGAGCTGGCCTTCCTGAGCCGTGACGAGGAGGATGAGGTGGACGGAGACCAGGATGGCAGAAGTCGAGACGGCCTCAGTCCCCAACCCCGGCATGACTTTGACAGACTCCAGGCCGGTGGTGGTGCCCTTGAGCAGCGGCCCTACAGAAGGGAGTCAGAGATCTGAGTGCCCTTGGTCTGGGTGCAGCGTCTACTCTGACAGGGAGAGGCACCGACATCTTTTTGGGGCTCAGGGTTTGAGCAAAACAGGGCAGGTGCCCCCCCACCACCCCCAGGTTGCAGACTCCGTAGCGTTTTAGTCGTTTTATGTTTCTTTGCAGTAGTCTTGAAGGTTGGCGGGAGAGCGGGTGGCCAGGGTGGGCAGCCCCTGGCTTCAGAAGCCAACATGGCCACAGGGGCAGGAAGGTGGCTTCCTGGGATCATGGGCCATAGGAGCCACGGATTTGTATTTGAAGATAGATGTGCAGTCTGCCTGGAAGCAGGTGTGTGTGTGTGTGTGTACGTGTGTGCATGTACACGTGTACACACGCACACATGTGCATACACGCACACCTTGCTGGTTTTTAACTTGGGGAGATTTCTGCTTTTTTTTTTTTCCAACCTTAGCTTGGATAAGACTGTTTACCAAAAACCAAACAAGATGAACTAACATATGTTTTGAAAAATTTTTTTTTTTTTATTTTGTGGGGTAGGGGGAGGACAATTAGGATTCCATGGGTCTACTGCAATGTAAGTAATTGGATGGAGGTTCCAGAAGGTTCCTTGAGACTTGTCTGAGCTCTCCTTTATGTATGCTAGGGTCCCCCAAGGTTCATCATGTTGAGGGGTGAATTAGGTGGTCTGGGATGGAAGACCCGAAACCATGTGAATGATCATAATAAAAGCTTTTGAATGTCACTGGGGTGGGGGTAGGGGCTAGGAAGGAAAGGATGTGATCTTTCTGAGTTTGACTTTGTGCCTCAGAGGTGCGTCTCAGGGCTGGGTTTTGGAGCTGCTCTTCAGGGTCCACTCCCCCCACCCCATGCTCCTGTTTGCCTCTCTCTCCATTTCTGCCCAGGGCTTCCACCTTCCTCCCTCCTCCCATTCCCCCCCCCCCGCCCCCGCACAATGAGGGGTGGTTGGAAACACAGGAGTGAATGATCCTTGGGAAGGGATGCAGGTTTCCACACACAGAAGGCGTGGGTCAGCCCCGCTGGACGTCCCCATTGCACCCACAGCAGGAGTCGTGCCTTAGAGACCCTGGGTTGTCTGGTTCTAGTTGTTTCTGTTTTGATCAGACTTGCTCCTCCTCCCATGCTGTCTCCCCCCTCCCCCCTCCTTTCCCCTCCTGCCCATGAAGTCCCTACCACCCTCTCTGTGTGTGCCTTGGAAGGTGCCAAGGCTTTACCCACCTGACTTATGGCTACATTCCTGCCTGTCTCCCCCTTCCCCCTATACCTGGGGCAGTACAGGTAAGCCTAGGAAGGCCCAGCCCAACCAGGCTTGTTTCTGGAAGGCAGAGGAAAGATTTCTAAGAGAAGAGAGGGATCATCAGCCTCTCCCTCCTTCTGAGATCACTAGGGGAGTCTCAAAACAGTGAGTTAGTTCCAGGGGTCTTAGGCTGGGCCCCTTCTTCTTCCTCTCCCCCCCCCCCCCCACCTCCCGGACTGGGTACCGCAGAGGGCATGATAGCCAGGCAGGAGGCTTTGAGGTGAGTACCCTCATCAGGAAGATGTTGGAGGCCCTTCTGTCAGGAGTGTCCACTCTGCTGCCCTGTCTTGTTCCTGTAGCTGGCAAGGGCCAGGCTTTTTTCGCCCCAGCTGCCAAGCAAACCTTGTCCCCTCTGGACCTGGTTGTGCTGGCCCACAGTGATTAGGAAAGCCCAACCTGGGCCCTCACGGCAGCTCAGAACCAGGGGCCACCAGGGACTTTCTGGCTCAAGTGGGAAAACTGAGGCAGAGGATGAGAAAGGGGATGTGCAAAGTCATGCAGTGAGTAGGTGAGGTGCAGTTAGAGTTAAGGAGAGGCAGGGGTGTGGAATGAGGCTCCTGCCTTTCCTATCTTCCCTTTCCTGGAGGCTCAGGGACTACGGGGCCTCTAGACTCTGTCAGCTCTCTGCAAGGCACATGGGCAGGAGGTTCTAGGGTAAGCTTGACTATAGGTCCCCACAGTAGCCTCAAAGTCCACCCTCATTCTTGGCCTAGAAGACTTAGCCCAAGGTCTAGCTCTTCCCTCTCAGGGTCTGTTGGAGGCCTCTCAGCTCCTTGGCCTTTGTCCTTGAAGTCTGGGTGGCTCTCACAAACTTAGCCCCAGGGTGTGGGGTGAAGTCACTGTGGCCTGTCCCTGGTCAGATGGCCAGGCCCAGGGACAGGGAGGGACAGGGTGCCTCTGCTCACTGGGTGGGGGGAGGGGACCCAGGTTTTCTCTGCCCTTCCTGGGCTGGTGGGACAACTTTCTACTCTCTGTGTCCAGAGTGAGCCCTGGGACTCCAGGTCCCCAAAGCCCACACCAGACCCTCAGTGGCCTGGTGCACGCTGGCCTCTGGCTTACACCCACCCATGTTCCAGTCCCCAGACCTTGCGGGAGCGCAAGCTGCCTTTGATCTCTCGCCAAAGGCAGCCGGATGCTACATTTTCAAATTTCTCCTGCCCTCTTTTTCTCCTTTCCCTGTATTTATTTATTTATTATTTATTTATTGCTCGTGCTAAAGACCAAAATAGTCTCCCTCTTTAGTGCACCTGATACTGGAGGCCACTAGGAGGAGCAAAGGAAGACCTGGCCCCTGGGGAGTGCGTTGGGAGGGGAGGTATGCACACTCGTGAGTGTACAGAGGTGCACACGTGATTGTCTTCGTGTGAGTGAGATGTACAGGTATGCACATAGGTGGTTTGTGTATGTCTACCCATGGGCGTGTGTATGTGTGTGTGTGTATGTGTGTGTGTGCGCATGCGCGTGCATGTATTTTCCATAAGAAGGATGCTTGACTTCCCTCCACAGATGTGAGTACTGTTCCACTTAAGGTTCCCTGTCCTTCTGCCCTGATCACAGTCTATGAGCAGTTGGGTGCCTGTGTGAAGGTGAATACCTGCACCTGGATCATGTGTTGGAGGCTACAGGCGTGTCCGTGTGAATACATGTCCATGTGTGCGTGCATGCATGTGTGTGTATGTGTGTCCTGGGGTGTGTGTGTGTATGTGAATGTCAGTGGGGTGGTGTGCCATGCGTTACTCAGAACCGGGCACCACCCTAAGCCCTTGCTGGTGCTGTGCCGCCTGGTCCCCGCCCAGCTGAGGGCCTGGGGAGGGGCGGGAAGGAGCCACTGTTGGGAGGCCCCTGTATGGGGTGTCTGCCCTGCGTGAGGTGATAGAATGTCAAATCTATTTTAAATGGTGAAACTGGAGAATTTTCAAGTTATTTTCAATACCTAGCAGTATCTAAAGACATAGGCGATGAGACTAGACCACATTAAATGCATTTTGATCTCTTTGAGTGCCACTGTGTCAAGATGTCTGTCTGTTGCCTGCCGGGCTCTGCCCCATGCTGAGTGGTCATGCTTCTCAGCTCCTGCATGCTGGCCTGAGGGGCTCTCAGGACCAGTCTTCAGGGAGAGAGTGGTACACGGTAGCATCATTGGGGTAAAAGGACAGACGCAGCCCCTTGCAGGCCCCAGGGTGGTTTTCCAGCCTGCACAATGATCCCAGGCAGCTACCTCATTATCCCTGGCTGGTGCCTGCCCCTTCCTTCCTTCCTTCCTTCCTTCCTTCCTTCCTTCCTTCCTTCCTTCCTTCCCTCCCTCCCTCCCTCCCTCCCTCCCTCCCTCTCTCTCTCCCTCCTTCCTTCCTTCCTTCCTTCCCTCCCCTTCTCCCTCCCTCCCTGTGCAGTTTTGTGGATCCTTCAAAGCTTTAGATCTGGGAGGGCTGGCCTTGAGATGGGCAGCCCTGTTCCCTGCAAGAAAGGAGAGAGGTGGAGGAGCCTGAAGAAGCTCTGTGGTATCATCTTCTGTTGGGATGACATGAAGTTAAGTGGGGCTGGAGCAGCGGGTGGAAGGCAGGGGTTGCTTCTGGCACATTTCTGGAAAATGACTTACATTGTGCCCAAAGCCTTGGACTGGGATCTCCCTTGGCTGAGGTCTTTAGGGAGAGAATTCCTTCATTTACCCTGAACTGCCCCCCTCCCCTTTCCCTAGCCAAAGACCCAGAGGACCCCTCCAATCATCAGATCTAGGTCATGATCCCCGATGATCAGATAAGTCGGTGTGGTTCATTGGGAAAGGTGATATGAAGTTCAGGGTGTGGAGGGTTGGGGAGGCTCAGGCCACAGAGTCTTCCTGGAAGAACTTGCCTCTGGTGAGACCTGGAGGGAGGGAAGACCCCTGAGGTGGTGGTTTGGTCCGGTGGGAGTCTCTCTTCCCCTAATACTGGTGCCCTCCTGAGACTCATGTCAAAATTCATGCCAACTGGGGGGTTACACTGCTTTGTCCCCAGGCCTTTCCCACAGAACCAGCCAGCAGGTCTGGGCCCTAAGGGCTTGAAGATATAGTCCCTGTTGGAACAACTCATTGCTCATATTTTGCCACCAAAGCTTGAGTCTCTCCTTCTCCTCTCTCCTGGCTGTGCTGATGACGTCTCAAAGGGCCCTGGGTCAGAGATCCCAGGCTACTGGTTTACCAAGGGACCTAGAGTGGATTCCTTTCCCTTCCAGCTTCAGTCTCCCCATCAGCGAAGAGTGTATTGGTAACCATTACAATGGCCCCTTGCAGACTTGTTGAAAAGAATACAAAAGGATTTTTTCTTAGCTGGAATACTTGGAGAACATGGTGGGCTGGGTCACAGCTAGGAGACAGAGTCTAGCCAGGAGACCAGGCTGTCCTGCCTCATCAGGGGGGAAAGAGCCACTCAGAATCTGCTTTTGGACAGGTGGGATTGGGGTAAGGGTGATTGAGCCGCTGCTAAAGGTGAAGGTGTGAGTTCTGGAGGCCTGTCCTGGGCATGTCCGGCCAGGCAGGCCCAAGAGGCCATGTTACCCTGTTTTAGAGGAAATTAAAGACACACTGGAGCTCTGACCAAACTCACTGGGATCCAAACTGGGACTCAATTAGACCTGGAACCCCAAACTATCCTTTGTCTTTCACGTTGGATCAATGGGCCCACACACTCCACATTTCCAGAGCATTGGGCTTCTGGGACC